GGGGCCATTTCATGACTTGGCAAAGTCCGTGGGTGAGGCTGGATTTGGGCTGGCAGCATGGAGCTCTGCCTTCGCACCCAAGAGGTTTTGGTCTCAGGAGTGCCTTGGCCCTTCAACGCGCTTAGCTCATTAGCACAGAAGAAGACTAATCAGTGGCATTGCCTACTTTTCCAGCTGTAGGAAAACCCAAAAACCTAATCTGGATTCTGGTTTGGGGACTTGGCCTCAGGCTCCTTCTTCCAGACGACATTGCCCACTGTGGAGCTGATGGTTGTTGCATATGAGGGTGTTGTGTGCAGGGCTGTGGCTGTCTGTCTCTTGGGACTTGAGCAGAAAACTCACCTTCTCAAGAGAAAAAAAGTAGTTGTTGTTTTTCTTCTTTTTCCAGTTTCTTCCACTCCGCTCCCACCAACAGATTTATGCTTGAGGTTTCCTTTTTGATGAAATAGTATTTTTTCCTAGAGAAAAATAAGTATCATTGAAAAATTCCCAGTCAGCTGTACCCAGGATGATTGAAAAACTTCCCAGAAAGCCAGTCCTGTTAGCAGTGCATTGTGTGGTTAAAAAAATAGCTTGCAAAAACAGCCCTTGGGACTGGAATAAGCTTTCAGAAACAGCTCGAGGTGTTGCAGGTACTGTGAGTGAGCAGAAGGAAGGGGAACCTAAGGGTGGGATGTCAGTGGTGGGGCCAGATGGGGCTCCCACTATCTGCCAAGGGCAACAGAGGGGTTGTGACGGGTTTCTGTTTCAGGGTTGGAGCAGAAAAGGGCAGCTGCCAAAGGGCAACTTCCAGCGCTGGGATTTGTGGCTCTGATCCCACATATGAACCCATGCTGGCCATAAACTTGTGACATGCTGACCATAAATTTGTGATGATGTGTTTGAAAGATGGGACCTTAAGTTTGTAAAAACAAAATTAAAAAAAAAAAAAAAAAAAGATAAAATTGGAAGCTTGACTTTGGATGTCCATATCTCATGGACAGGAAACCTGGGCACTGGAACACTCCCCTTCTGCATTTTGTCATTTAAAAATGGAAGTGGCTAGTGCCACAGCTGGCTGAAGCACTGATCCCAAACCTCATCCCTGTGTGCCTTTGGGAGGAGGCAGCCCACTCCTTCTGTAGGCAACTAAAATTTTCAGTCCTAACTGGTATCAGCTTTTGTACTATAAATGATCTTAAAGAATACATCAATGTCACTAATGGGAAAGGGTCACATAAAATCTGGATTTTTTTTTTTTATTTCAGTCTAATTGTATGACAGAGCTAGGAAACCTTAGGCCTCTGGTGTTACCTTCTCTATGTTATGGACTTAGATGTATTTTAGCAGCAATATATTGGTCTTAGGGCTTTGTAGAATTATGTTAATTTTCACACCATGAGATCTATAGATCAATATGAACATATATATATATATATTGGATAATTCGTACACTTTCTATGGTATTAATATGTTTCATTTCTCTTTTTTTTTCATCACAAAGCTGATTAATCCAAATTGAATCTGTTAATGCAAAATATTATATTTTTTTCTATTAACATACACAAATCCTTGTAGAAAGATTCTTGGCTAAAGTACGGTGTTTCTGGTCCAAGCTAGGAGGAAGGAGGAGAAGGAGAAGGAGGGAAAAGAGGAGCAGGGAGGCACATTTCTCCTCTTCCTCCCACCATGGGTCTGGGGCACCTCCTCGGATGATGAAGGCTTTGGCTCAAATCAGACTTCTCTGGCTTCAAACTTGTCAGGAGTGTGCCCAAATACTGGATGGTAGCTGAGATAAGAGTTAGCTGGGAAGGACTCTCTGAGTTTCTTCTAATGAAATAATTTTATATTGTCATTTTAGATAATTACTCATTGGCATAGGGACCTCAGTCTGCTTTCCCCAAATCCCAGGTGCAAATGTTTTTCTCCAGCCTTTTAAATCTGTTTGTGGAAAACTTCCCAAGGTCTTTGGTTTGCCTTAGGTTATGGAATATAAAAGAGTTTGGACTCTTAGAAACTCTCTGGGGAGGGATATTTCCCATTCAGCTCTGGTAAAAAAAAAAAAAAAAAAAAAAATTTTTTTTCTCTTTTACTCAGTTTTAAAGGTAGCTAAAAGGTAGATAAGTCATTCCTTAGAGTCACCTTTTCATGGAACAACTGATGTACAAATGTTACCAGATTAAACAAGATGGTCATGCTATATTAGAAAGTGCTGCAGACAGCAGGCCTGTAAATAGATTGAAAAGAAAAAAAATGCTGGGAAATGTTTGCCATGAAATTAGTTAGGTGTTTAAATAGGAGGAGCTGATTTCTATAAAACCAAGAGTGCTTTTTAATCTTCCAGAGTGGTTCAGAGATTCAGTCCTCAATTGGAAGGAGTCTTAGAGGGCGGCTGAAATGTGTTGGTAACCAAAGGACACGGACTAGTGAATAGGAAGACAATGTCTATTTTATAAATACATAGAGGCAGCTTCATCTCTGTAGCGTATTCATCATGCAGCAGTAAAATCACTTTGGCCCCATGTCTTGAGCAACATTCAAGTTTTACTGTTATTGCAGTGTGTTGCATATCCTACTTGGTGTTACAGCACACTCAATATAGCTTTTGTGCTTGTAATTGGGGTGTGTTGGGGGGTATCTCTTCATCCTTCAATAATCACTAGCCAGATTTTCAAGGAGTGTCAATATGTCTGGTTGTGATGGAGTCGATGTGACCAAACTCCTTTATACCAGATAAGATATGGTCCTTTGTGCTTAAAAATAGCCTGAAAAGGGAAGGACACATCTACCTATGAAGAGGTTTCATGTCCTACTTCTGCAACTCTCCTCCTTGTTCAAGAAGGCTCTGCAGGTCTTCTGCTTCTTCAACTCCTTCATCTCTCCCAAATTGCTCACAAAAGCAAATTCCACGAGAGAGAGAGACAGCTGCTTCTGCATATATTAATAATACACAGCTCTATAAATGATTAATAAAAGACACCACTGACTTTGAGTTATGGTGTAGTAATTCACACTTAGCTATTTAGATGGCTCTCAGCCTTCATCCTGGCGTTGCACAAAGCACCGGGGATGAATGATTACCCTGTCATGCAGACTGTTGTTTCTAGTTGCTTAAATTGAGCACTGCGCATATCAGATGGGATCATACAGCTGATTATGGCACACCAGAGAGACCTTGGCCACCACATGGATGGTCAAAATCAAAATGATCAATTTTTCAAATTGCTTAGTGATGCATCTGTGGAAATGCTGCTAGCTATAGACTGTAAGGGCTCTCTCCTTTGTCATGCTGGGAACCTAGAGCTGGTCCAAAGTGGTGTTTAAATTTGTGATCATATTTAATCTCATGTGCCGACATTTTGGTGGATCCTATGAAGTGCCTAATGCAGAGCGAGGTCCTGCTGCTCCTCCGGTGATGGATGTGATCACGTTGTCTTTTTCCAGCTGTTCACTCCACGGGAAGTCCCCGCACTTTCTGCTGTGCCTCTCTGTGTTCTCTGTGATGTTTATGTTTGTGTGAGATCTATCCCTAAAAAGGGAATACTTCATTTTTAAAAAGCTTTGTAAAGATGAGATTGTGTTTAAAAAAAAAAAAAAAGGAAAAAAAAAAGAAAACCGGGAAGCTGGGGGTTTAGTAAATTGATTTGTCCATGTGTGATAGAGAACAGAAGTGAAAATACAACTTTGCCTGGTCACCTGCAGACAACTAAGCCAGTTTCCGTTTACCTCCAGGTGATTCACCACATCCCAATGTCAATCAAAATGGATCAGAATGATCACACCTGAAAAGTGACAGTTTTTCTCTGTTAATTAAAAAGACATCCTAGGGTGGCTTGCTCAGATATAGATGTCTATGCTCCAGAGCCCTAGAATTTGGGGAGGTGAAACTTAGTCTTTAAATCCCTGTTTTCCCCATCCTCTACCACATTCTGTTGGGGTGACAGTACGCAGATGTTTTATATGCTGCCTCCTCAGCACAAGCAAGTGAAATGCCACAGTCATCACTAACATCCTGTTCATCAAATAATACTCAGCGTTAAAATGCAGTAATTACAAAGTGACTACTAATGTGGAGCTTGTAGGGGTGTAAAATCCCCACAGAAACCTTGTCCCAGATGATGGTCTGCAAACGGGAGGTGGAAAATCTGGTTGGGTTGTCCCACATGGAAAGATAAATTCCAAAGTATTTAGATCTGCAGTTGAAGCCTCCCTCCTCTTCAGGGGAGAAAATGGGGCCTCAGGAAAGAGTTTGGTGCCTTTGTGCTGGTTTCTGAGTGAAACAAACCTTTCAGGGGAAACAATGCTAATAGAGTCATCGCTTTGGCACATGAGCCCTGCTGGAAAGAAAGTCTGTTAATCCCCTCTATAGTCTCTCTATTTATACCCTTAGGCTGCACATAAACTGGCCAAGTACAAGAACAAAAGCTGACTAGAAATATCTCCTGTGACTGTTGTTCTCATAAGCTATTATCTCCTTTATTAAGGATCAGGCTAAGAACAACCTCTGTTAAGGACAATGTTCTGCGAAGAAATGTGATTATCATGCTGATTTAGGTGAAACTTGGCCCTGTGGCTTGCCTCTCCCTCTGCCCTCACTGCCCATTTTTCTTATTGTGCTTTTAAGTGGTCGTGCCATCAGCCAGGCTGGAGGAATGCCTGCCCCATCCATGTCCCTTGCTCAGGGAGTGAGCCTGGGGGCACTTGGGCTTGCACATACACCAAGATGGATATCAGCATAGAAGTACAGTTTCTCTTCTCAGACATTACTTTAAGATATTGGATAATATGATTTTTACAATAAAAATGAAAAAAAAAAAAATCTTGGACTACGTATTTGTGTGTCACCTTAAGGATGGGGTCTTCTAGAGAAAGGGAAGTCATGGCGCTGTTCACCAGATCACCGGTGTCTTTTATCATGTTTCTTTACTTACAATCATTTTAGAAATTAATGCATTTGATATTTAATTTGTTTCTTTAATATATCTGAGGCTCATTAATAATTGTGATTATCTTCTCTGCAGTTTTTATTTAATGAAAATAAAAAGCCACACCAACATCTCGTTTCACCACGACTGAATGAAGATGTACCTTCTTGACCTGGAAGACAGTACAACGCTTGTTCCTTTGTGCCAGTCATATCCAAAAAAGTAAATAAACCAAAGATGGCTTTACTGATCCTTCTGCAAAGTACATTTCCAGACACTAGGAGAACTTTGTGCTTCATGGAAATGCACCATTGATCAGGAAGATGCTTCGAAAATGTAGAGTGCAAACAACTCCAGCGGTTTTGCTAGAGAAAAAGGAGAATGGGAGAAATTCATCATACTTGGCTGTACTGAACATGAGATTTCCTCTTTGAAGAGCTGTTTGTCTGCATCAAGAAGAGCTGTGATGTACCTTAAGTTCCTGCCGTTAGAATTGTTGAAAAGATTTGATTAAACTTAGATGTAACAGTTTTACAAACTGTGACCAAATGCAATATTTCCATTCACATCTTAGAAGTATGACTGAGGATAAATCATTAGGTAACAAGATCTTAAGGAGTCTATGAATGGAATTATGCTGATTCTTGAAGTAAAGTAGTAAATTACTTTTTCAGACTATGTGGTTACAATTTTTTAACCCTTGCAGTATTGGACAATCAAAAATTTTATCTACAGGATACCCTGTCCTTTCAAGTCATAATCCCATTAAGACCAGACAGCAGGAATAAATGATATCAATGCAGAGACACACATTAATTTGTGGGATTTTTGTACTTATGTAGATATGATACTCATTTGTGAAATGAAAGTAAGCTACTCTAATATCAGCTTAATTATAGATAGGCCAGATGAGGCTGTTGGCATTTAAAGACAGGATGTTTATATTTAAAGAAATGAAACTCCTGTCACAGTGGAAAGATAAAGAAAAAAAGGATAATAAGATAAAGAGTGGTAATTGTTTAGGCTTATGTCTGAGGCTGACTGGGGCCAGATGTTGGACTTAGATGTGGTGGTGCAGGATCCTTACAAGCATGTTGCTGCTTTAGTATGTCAATCTAAGAGAGCCCACCAGTGCAGGGCAGAGGAACTGCCCAGATGCCGTTTTGAGCATAAGCTACAAGATGCAAGTATAGTCAGTCCTCGTTTTTTTGCAAGACTAAGTGAAAAACAGAAGCAACAGGAGAAAGCAAAGATTTGGGCATTTTTTCCCAAATCTGACTTATGCTGGGATTTGGAAGTGGGCCAGGTTGGATGGGGTTTTGAGCAACCTGATCTAATGGAAAGTGTCCCTGCCCATGGTAGGGGGGTTGGAACTAGATGGTCTTTAAGGTTCCTTTCAACCCAAACCATTCTATTATATGATTCTATGAATCAGGTACTTCTATTTTTGATAAGAGCAAGACAAATCAGAGTTTGCTTATTAGGTGTGCACAAATCAGGCAATCCTGAATCTGGAGAAGGGAGAAGCAATCCACCTCAGAGTCAAGGTTGAAGCATCCTTGTATCTTATTCCTGGGTGAAGAGGAGGGAAGTTGGAGACCCTACTGTCCACCATGCTGAAGGTTGTCTCTTTGGGCTTGACTGTCTGAACCCACAGCTTGTCTCCTGCCTGTTAAAACAGGAACTATCTCCAAGGAGGGTGTTGTACAGAGCCACTAACACTCATGTAGGAGCTACAGTAGCAAATAGAGGAGGAGAACCATTAGGATTGTCCTGACTGGTTACTAAAAGAATTACTTTATTTATTAAAAAATCTATTTAAATATTTCATAAATTTTTTCTTTTCCTGAGAATTCAGCTTTAACTGAAGCAGGATATCTGGAAAATTGAACTGGTCTTCCTGAGCCAGCTGTTTGCCAGTGGTGTTAGTGTCTCTGTGAAACCACTTCTGAGAATGAGCCTTCACAGGTCCTCTAGTGACCTCCTGGCCAAACCTTGGTGGTCATTCATCTTCATCAGGGCGTTTGAATTTGGGCCCCTTTCACTTTCCTTCTGGCCTTGGCTCTGCATTTTGAAGATATATACTCACAGGTTAAGACATCACATACTGTTCACTCCTGCTCTAACACAGCCAGGGTTTAATATTAACCTTCATTTACTCAACAATAAAAGATGTATTTAATCAAAGCTCTTTTAAATTTAACACTGATAAATTGAGCACTTTCTTAATGTACATTCACATTCTGTCAGTCTATTATATATGAGCTGTACAAATGTGATGCATTGGCTTTGTAAACACACAAATAAAGACAAGGAGAAAAAAAGTGTTTGCAAACCAAGTTACTTTTCTGTGAATTAATGGAGCTGTGAGAACTGCAGTTCATCCTGTGCAAGGCTGAGGATGGTTGGGTTTATCTAATACATCCTTGACCCTGAAAGTGCAGGTCCGATGTCCCAGCTCCTGGCTGTGTGGTCCCTCACCCCTTGCACGGTTTCTAGTGCTGGCTGGATCTGTAACGAGCTGGTTTGACTCACTGACCCAGAATAAAATGAAATAGGTAAAAATGGGGGGTAATTTTCTGATGGATTAGTGAGTTGAGTCGTCTTCACAAAGGGCCTGAGGAATGCTGTGCAGAAGTGCACGATGAAGGTTGATGGACAGGGGGAGTGAGGACCCTTATGGTAGCAGAGATCTGTTAGACCCACTCAGCTGCCTCTTCCACCTCCTCAGCCAGGATGTGGGTCCATGAGAGTTTAAAGCAATCCAATTGGGTCCTACTGTCCTACCCTGCTGTGTCATGACACAATGTCCCCCCCTTTTCCATGCACCAGCAATTGTGTCCATCTGGCCCCACAATGAGCTGATTCAGTGTGGTAGATTGGCAGAAAAATATTCAGTATTTACATGGTTTTAGTTAGGTCTTCCAGTTTTGCATCTTGAGCTGATTCTCCACGAAGTCAAATGAACATAAGTGATAGTGAAGAAATGTGCGGGAAAGCTTGCTTGGGGACAGAGGAGGTGGTTGAACTTGGCAGAGGTGTCTTAGATTAGTTGAAACTGTAAACTGCAGATCTGGAGCATATCTGTTTTCTGCATTTCTGTTTTCCTATTGCATGGATGAATTTGAGAGGTACTGTTACATTTTCTGACTGATTGATTTTTCATCTGTACAAAGCCATATGTATACAATGGACCTAATACCTGTTTTGCAAAAATCTCTTCTTACCGACAGGATGCTGAGAGGAGCCTACAAGAAGGAGCATTGATCTAAAGAACAAAGGTACATTAATAATTTTAACATGATCATACACAGACATTAAAACCAAAACCTGAATCACCAACTCATGTTTGCTCATCAACAATGTCTGCAGCCGGTCCAATTAATTTGTTGAGGTACAGAAATTAGCAAATAATTTACCTTAGACTTAGATGAGGTTAAACATGGTTGTAAGAAAATGATGGACCTGTATTTCCAGGCCCATCCATACACCAAGTCCAGCAGTGAGAAAAAGTTCCAGCACTGTTCCCACATGTACTGTAGATCACCATTTAACTGCTTGCTACTTCAGGCATCCTTCTCATAGTAAGGTCCCCGTACTTGATTGAGTTTGTAGTGCAGGTGATACCTTGGTGAGCTATGCACACCTTATGTGTGCCTGGGACTGCTAAAGGCCCTGGGAGAGCTAGAGCAGTCATTGTCTTTGATTTAGTAGCAAAACCTGTTTTCCTTACTTGGTCTCAAGTCCTGAGGACAGCCCAAATTCTCCAGCACTGGAGCTTTCAATAAGACATTGTTTATGCTGCTGTGCTGTCGATAAGATGTCATTACTTTAGCTGCAAGATAAGAAAGGATTTGTTAATGGCTCCTCTTGGGGGATGGTGACATTTTTTTTCCCCTTATAGATCACTGGGGAAAAAATATGGGAGCAGGTTGACAAGGAAAGAAAATCAGTTTAGCTTATTTTTTGTATTTATGCCTCCCAGTTAAAGCTTTAAGTTATGAAAAGCACAAATGCAACCTTTTCCTTTTATTTGTAGTTGTGTGTGAAAACAGTGATTTAATATGCAATGTGCATATTGCATATACCTTTTTAAGAGAAGAAAAATATATTTTAGCATCTCTTTAAAAGAAACCTGCTGTGAGCCGTAACAGGTCTATAACCTATCATTAATCTGGAAGTATGGTACTCCATGAGAGGCAGATCAGGTTTTGCCTTTCCCAGAGCTAAGTAGTTACTAATTAACAGCAGATATGGCAAGAATTTTTCAGCTCTTGCTTTGGCATAGCTGTCAGTGCTGTAACCTGAGGGCTGCGCGGCTGTGGATGGAGCTGCTGACACCCTCACTGCACAACTTCTGCCTGTGGCCGAAACCTCCTGCAAATACCCCTGTCTGGTGTTACCTCTGCCCCCAATTGCACAACAGACTTCGACAAGCTGCTGTCACAAAAGTCCCTGATAGTCCTGGGGTTTTCAGAGACCAGGTGACATTTTGGAAGTCTCAGAAATAACAATGCTGTATTCTTTGCAAAACCGCATTTAAGACAAGTTAAGGGCCTGATTCTGCCAGTGTGTAGCTGTCGGTACTATCTTCTATGTAAAGTTAGGAGCACCCAGAGGGCATGTCTGATCTTGAAAAATTCACTTGGCTTCAGGTGAAGCATGAGCTCAAGGCACAATAGCTACCACTGAATAGGGATATTCAGAGGACCAGGCCCAGGTGCCAAGACCAGCCCTGCCTGTTTGCAATTGTGCAGGGGACTTTTAAAAGCACATCCCTGGCTGTCCAGCTAGATAGCCAGTTCAGGCAGGCAGGAAAGTTCCTTTTTTTTTTTTTTTTAACACAGTAAATAATGGTGGGATGAAAGGCACATTTGGTTGCATTTTGGTAGATTCCTTGGGCTGGAGTCTGCCCTGCTGCTGGCCTGCCTCTCCCACTGCTCTGTTCCCCACTTCCCACCCTGCATGACACTCGGCTGAGCTGGGCTTGCCAACACAGCCACCTAGGTGGCCACAGCCACCCATGCAGCCACAGCCACCCGTGCAGCCACAGCCACCCGTGCCACCACACTCCCTGCCCAGTGTGCAGCTGCACAAACAGAAGGGTTGGCACAAGGCAGCCCAGGGGTGGCTGGGAGGAGGCAGAGCCCCTGCCTGCTTATGCTGGCACAGCCACCAAAATATTTTCACAGAACAAGTAACCTTAACCCCTGGCTCACCTCTTGCTAGCCAGGCTGCTCTCAGCTTCATAAAACCCAAGAATGTGACAAACTCCAAGTGCCATCAACCGTGGGTGAAGGGGATGGATGCTCAGGGCTGAATGCTGGGCTAGTGGTATTGGTCACTATTTCCACTGCCTTGCCAGGCTCTGGAAAGCAGAGATCCTGCAGGGCCCTTGCCACAGAGGCTTACATGTAACTCTGCTCATTCTGAGTAGCCAGACCCAGACCGGTTTAGAAAATGACTGCATGAATGAGCACAATACAGCTGTAACAGGAAACCAGATGGGATCCCAGAGAATGGGGAGGTAAGGCGATAGCTGCAGGTGGCTGTGGCTCCCAGCACAGTTTATCTAGCCATTTGTGGTGCAACATCTACCCAGAAGCTGAGAAATGATGCAAGAGGCTTACATGCAGGAATACCCCAAAAAATAATTCCCTAATATTGTGTTAATGCTACCAGAGTTGACTGTAATTTCCCTTGGGTTGCACAATTTAAGAATTTTAGGGTTTTTTTCTCTCTTTATATGCTAGAGGTGACTTTTTGGTGTCTTGGCCTGTGCTCACTGCATCATGGAACGCAGTAGGATTTTCTCTGTGGTTCATGTGTTTTCTCTTCTTTTTCTTTCTCTTCAGCATTTAGGAGATTACCATAGCTCACATATTTATAGAGAACAATATATCCTGGTACAACTGTATGCAAGACTTTTTTTCTTTACTGGAAAACAGCATCTTGCAGTGTTTGGCAGGCTGGAAGTTACGTTCTCTATAGTTGGCAGTGTGTGCATGTGTGTGTGTGCTTGAAAGAGGATAGAGGATATGTGTTCACATGTGCACCTCCATACCCTCTGCTAGGACTGCCTGGAATAACCAGAGAATTGATGAATCCATTCTAAAAGCAAGATAAGTGATTTAATTTCTTTTCATCATTGCTGACTGATAAACTGTAACTTCAATCCCAGGGATTAGCATTGCTTTTACAGGATAGCTGTATCAGAGAATGCAATAAAAATTGTAGAAAGCAACTTTAAAAGGCTCTTGTTTTGATGTACTTCCAGCTTGTAAATAAAACCTACTTTCTTCAACTTTGCTGGAAAGACTTTATTACTATTATCAGGTTATCAAGATCCATTATTTTCTTATGAGGAAAGTATTGCCCCAAGCAATGTGGAGGCTATTTATGACTAACTACATCCATACCTTTTCAGTGTTTTTTGTACGTGTTACCATGGTTGAGGTCCATATAAATGCAAATAAATATAAAGCTTGTAGCCACCAGCGCTGCTCCCCTGTATAGGGAACACAGCTTTATTTAGTAGGCTGGAAATGACAGGTGGGCAGAGAAAAATCTAGACTTGGTGTGAATTGCTGATTCCTTTGCTGACATCTCTGGTGATGTGCAGGTGGGGTAGTACCAGGTGGGGCAGAGCACAGCTTGCTTTCATCTGGCTATCCAAAATAAGTGCAGTTCATCTGCTCTGGGACAGACAGAATTAAAACTAAGCAGAGACCATCAGAAGTAATATCTTACTTTGGCTATTTGTGTATTAAATATAAAAATTCTAAAGCCTGTTCTTTTAAGAGTTTTAAATGTATCAGTCAATTTAAAAACACACCATCCTCATATAGATTTGGCCTATGATGATACTATATCCTTCTGCTTGTAGGACAATGCTCCTTATTATACTTCATCACTAAGTTTCTTTTGTTCTCGTTTTGACAAAGCCAAATCAATGCAATAGTGGCAGAACAGCTTTGGGTGCTGGCATCAGTATGACACATAGCCCTTAGTCAGCAGAAAACAGGTCGTACCTCAGCTTCCACAACTGTCATAAAGCTACTGAAAGCAGATTTTGGGAATCCCTGAGGGAAATAAAACCAACACCCCTCAGTGCAAAGAAGGTCTCTGTTTAAAATTACTCTCCAACCTTCCTGTTCTCTAAGTCTTAGGAAAAGATTTCCTCGAAGTAGAGAGGAAGAGTCAGAGCAGAAGCAGAGAACTGATGGCTGGCTGGCAGGGAGAGAGTGAGTGGACTGCCTGGAGGTGAGAGCAGCAGACTCCATCCAGATGAAGAAATAAATTATGACTCTGAAGCATAGCACAGGGTTTATCATAACAGGAGTGAAAGGGTATAAAGACCTAAACTGTTTATTTGTATGAGAACATAATGGTCCTTGTTATCGACTTGGTGTTGAAAGGAATGACTTCCATCTAGAGGATGCAGAAAAAACACAAGATAAATTTCAGTACTAGTAACAGTTTAATGGAAAAAGATTGAAAAAGAGGAAGAATATGGAAATTAGACAGGAATGACATTGTAAGAATTTAAATGTGACATTTGGCAGCAGCTGTATCGTTCATGAAAAAAACACAGTGCTAATCAACATCAGATGTATTGTTATTTTAAAATAGACTTTATTTAATGACAATAAATATAAAGAAATCTTAATATTCAGAAACTAATAGCAAACATTATTAGAAAAAATACAAAAAATACATTCTTACATTCTGAATTTTATCAACGTACACAGTCTTAAACAGTGGCAATAGTCTGTAATTTATGGTGTTTGTTAAGGCAATGATATAGTCACCGGTCAAAATTCACCCTGACTTCAACAGATCTGTACAAAGTAAGAGTCTGACCTACATATCATGTGTAAAAAAGAGTTAAATTGATTCATAGTTTAAAACAAATGTTAATTTTCCCTTCAAACATATCTTGAAATATTATTAAAGTGACATAGCCTAAAAAACGAAAGTTACAGATACTCATATGTTGGGAACTGCTCCCCCTGCATTTTGGTCTGATGCCTCTGCAGAGCTCCCTGTGTACAAGCAGGGCACATTTCAGCAGTTGGAAGTAGAGGCTACAGAAACTGCACAGCTTAAATCAAACTATTAAAATGCAATTATTAGGCACTCTGTTGGTTTTCCTCTTCTGTCTCTCTCATTCAGAACTGTGCTGTGAATAACACTGTGCATATGGCAAACTGAACTGGTATAATGTTTTCTGAAATGAAATGTTGCAGCTACATTAGCAAAGAGAGTGGCACTTCAGAAGGAAATCACTAGAGCAAAAGGTTGATTTCGACTAGGTGATGCCCACGCAATACTCACAGCTCTCTTCAGCCTAGCTCTGGTTTTAGCTCTCCAGACTAAGTGACTGTCAGAGACCATTAAGTATATATCTAAAACCTGCCTTCTGGTTCAGTTTAAACCAAGAGGAATGCAGTCTATGTGCCCAGATACCAGTCTGTAATGGGAAGCACTGCCCAGAAAGTAGGGACAAGTGGAAGACTAGTTTCAAAAGCACACTCCTGATCCGAACAAAAATGGTAATGTAGAAACACACCTGAAGCTGATTAGGATTTTATTACAGGAGTAGCCCAAGTCACAGATATACACACTTTGTTGATGTAACATTTTTTTAAAAATCATTATTTTAAGGCATGAACATAAACTCTCGATGACACTGAGGGCCAACTCCCCCTTTAGGAGAGGCTGCCAACTGGTGTAAAGGGGGCAGCTGAGGGAGGGCACAGGAACCAAACAAGGAGCAGAAGACCAGGCACTCCTGAAAATCAGCCTTGAGCTCTGCCACTGTTCACAGTGTGACCCCAGGCAAGGCAAGAAATTCCTTTGTTTCCTAGTTTTTTTACCTATCAAAGAGGGCAATAAATGCTTCCTTAAGACCAAATAATCACCTGAAATGGTCCATTTAGTGTTGCATTTCTTTTTCCTTTATCACAGGATGCCTCCTTGCCTGCCCCAGCCCTCCAACACTGCACCTGAAAATGTATTTAAGGTACACTGGCACTGTGATTCCTGATGGGGGTATGAAAATGGCATCAGCTGAACACAACTGCAGATGGGGAAGGGCCAGTTCAAAGCTAAACTCAGAAAGCTGTAAGTCTGAAATGAGCTGACTGGCCTTTCTAACCAAACTAATTTTGTGCCGGGGAGTCCTGAGTTCTTCACTAAAATTGTTTCATGAAACAGTTTTTTGGACAAAAACTTGTTTTAAACAGAAGTTTGGTACACTATGCTGTGACAGGACCCAGAGTCAATGGGCACAAACTTAAACACAGGAGGTTCCCTCAGAACATTAAGAAACACTTCTTCACTGTGAGGGTGACTGAGCACTGGCACAGAGTACTTGGGGAGGTTGTGGATTCTCCATCCTTGAAGATGTTCAAAAGCTGTCTGGTCCTGGACAGTCTGCTGTAGGTGGCCCTGCTTGAGCAGGGGAGTTGGACTAGATGACCTCCAGAGGTCCCTTCCAACTCCAACCATCCTATGACCTGGGCAGAAGGTCAAACCAGTATTGAGGGGACATATTTTGATAAGAAATTCTGTCTTGTTTAGAAACTTCTGAGTGTTCGTCCATCTATCTAATTTATATTTGCTTCCTGGTAAATTAAAGACTTGCTGTGATTCTGATGAAACCAAAACAAATGGCAAAGGGCAGAATTCCCTGTGCAAACAAGCGCTGGTTCCATTGCTGCTCTGATTGTCATTTATCATTGCAGTCTGTCTTGTTTTTCTATACTGCATCTTTTTTTGTCTTCAGGTGCTCAAAGTTTTCTGGGCATTATAATAAGTAAACTTCAGTCCTTCAGTGTCAGAAATGCAAGTGGTTCTCTGGAATATGTGAGCTTTTTTCTTTAATCTTTCCTTGATTTTTGAACCAAGTTTTCCTCTCAACATTCTTCCACGCGATCATGCCCAGTCTTGCTGAGTGAAAGCTTGTGTATTGACTGCGGAAAGGACTCCCCTCGTGTTCTACCTCTTCCAGTTTAAAAGTTGCCATTTCAAAGGATAAGCTTGAGGTATATAGCAGTCAGTATTTGGAAGTTTTGCTACAAAATTCAGATATTTGACTCCTTCTGATTATTAATGGGATAAAATACATCTTACAAAAGTTGCTTAGTTTCTGCACATGAGTTTCTTAATATGTAAAAAACCTATATGAATAATCTGCCTAAAAATTCTGCATATCTATTACATTTAAGAAGAGTACAAAATTACAAATGCAAGAATAATCACCTGGTTTACAGAGTATAAGCCTACTTCTGCTTTTTAAACATGATTTTGGTTCTTAGAATTTGTAGAAATTGGTCCACTAAAACTGTTAAAAGAGAAAGCAAGTTAATAATCTGGCATATCAGTGATGCAGACAGAAAGCGGAGTTCTACATGTGTGTTCAATCTATAATTCCCTAACTCTCAGTTTGCAACTGGTGCCAAAATATCCAAGCAGACCTGCAGACTAATTTGAAGATGATGGATGTCTGTAGCACATGCATCCACATCTGTAACATCCTTCCTAGTTATTTAAAGCTTCATAACAAGGTTAAGGCATATTAAATGGTTTATTCCAGTCTCCAGTTTCAATAAATTCATGGTCTTGTCAGAATTCACTTTATCATGCAGTGTTGTATCACAACAGGTCCAGCTGCATGTTCTTCCTATGTCAAAATCTATCAGGGAAGAGCACGGTGCCTCTGGTGTGGGAGAAATGCAAAAAAGCCCTCCACAAATATTGATTTAGTATGTGAAAAGACTTTTAACACTCGTTACTGCTACATGTAGGAGACCTTCAAGGCTATGGTCATTCAGAGCAGAGTGGGCAAGTGAACAAATGAAAGTACATTGACTGGAGAAAGATAAAATGCCCGAGTTTTCTAGTCACCCAGAGTGCTGTAAAGTCAGTTTGCATGCATCGATTTCAAAGACAATTCTCCTGTTTACACAGAGATTGATGAACAGGATGGGCTTACAGTCCTGATGCTTCTTGTGATCCAAGTCTGTGATTAATTAAACTATGTTGTTATCTATTTAAGTCTCAGAATGCATAGCTAATTCAGTGTAGCACACAATAGTGCTTAGTATGTCAATTCCAATGGCTTAACAACATGATTTTGTGTTGTATTTTCCTTCTCTTTCCTTCATGTTTTGGCTCTTCATCTTTATTTTATAGTTGGGGTTTGCATTAACATGTAAACAAAACTTCAGAAGATGTGATAGTATTCTTACAACAAATCATTTCTGTTCTTAAGGTTTTATTCAAGTTAAACAAGAGATCTAATAGCTGATGCCTAAATAAAGTGGAAGGCACTCCATGTATTTGAGAACTATTCTGCATTGTCTTTAAATGATAAATAATTTTTATCTTCACATGTTGAAAAAATATGTCCTACTAAAGCTGTTTAAAAAATGGATAACTCTTATCTGAGTCGCAGTGGTTGCATTTGTCCAAGGGAAACATGTAAATGAGCAGGTAGCAGTTGCAAGAAACAATGTTTAGTAAAGGGAATTAAACCAAAGCATTTGATTAGCTATTGGTAATATCTGGACAGGTAAATACTGTTATTCCATATAAAAAGGTGCTTATTCAGCTTTAGGTCTGAAAGTACTGTCCACTCCTTTGATAATTTTGTCAGCTATTTTCCCCATGGTTTTTTTCACAACTTTGAGATCGTTCTCGTGCAAGAGTTTCTGCGTTAGGTACTTCTCTCGTTTGACCTTGCTCTTGGTCTTTTGTGATACATCCGGAATTACGTATGAAATAATAAACTTCACAAAGTATATGACATGCTGGGGAAGGTGAAAATGAAAAAAATGTCAGTTTGGCTAAACAGGAAATAATATTAATAATATTAATAACATTAATAATAATAATAATATTTACTACTACTACTACTACAACAAATGAAATGTCACATTATCTCTTAAGACTCTGAGCTGGTTCTGTACCAGTATCTATCACATTGGAACAGTATTTTAAAAAGCAAACATGATTAATGAATAGAATAATTATCTGATAATAAATTATTATTTTCTAATCCTGATTTTAACAAAGATTTCTCTCTTTGTTTTGGGGGAACCCTGGTACCCAGTGCTTCCCCCCCTGCATGGAAATAATGATTATGGTTTCTTTTAAAATTGTTTCAGGTTTGTTCAGGTGACTCAGGGGCAACGGATATTTCTCTGCTACAGGAACTCTGATCCAACCAGTGGCATGCTTCTGATGACTTCAGTAGTCTCTGGATCAGGCCCTAACTATATTTTCTAATGAAATAATACCTAATATTCCTCATCCTTCTTCTTGAACCAACTCCCATCTTTTATAAGCTCAGACTGTAGCTGCAAATGAAGGAGCAATTGCTTTTTGAAGCTCATCTAGAGGCTCACTTCTTGCAGTGACCATCTTTCTAGACTTCACTCTGCTTGTGCACATGTATTATGTATATGTATTCATGAGACTGTGTGCAAACTTCATCTAAGTATATGTAAAAATATTTTTGGTCTAACTGTCCCTTCTATATCTGATACTAAAACTAATTTTACAGTTCTTGAAAAAAGAAACTGCAAACACATGGGGCAATCCTTGGCTGATGCCATGACTTCAGAGACTTCCTTTTCTAATGGTGCTACACTTAATTTACATCTCCCGAGCTCTTGCCCATGCTAGCACACATCACCAGCTCTGATGGCTGTGCGTGGACAGAATGTCTTTGAAGGATTTCCTACATGTAGGGAAGAGAAGTTTAAATAAGTAATGCCTGAAACCCCCTGCACTTACCTCCATGACAATGATGAAAGCCAGCTTGGCTGCAATGACGTGCCAGTAGTATATGTTGTGCTCATATTGGTGCTGGTGACCCGGAGGGTAGCGGAGATCTCGGTATCTGAAAGCAATATTGGAAAGTCAGGAGCTAGTCTCAGGCACCTCTGCAGTACGTCACTGTGGCCAGAGGATGGAGCAAGATATATCCCTGCTTAATGCATCCAGGAACAGCTAGCTGCATGTAGCTACAGTAATGGGTAAGATCGTATCTGCAGAATAAACTATATTTGGCTGAAATTTCCTCTTTTTTTTTTATTTTTTTTTTTTTTTTAAAAAGAGTATCCATTATGAGAAAACCAAAGTAGTAAAGTAATAATTTTCGGAGTAGCACAAACTCATGGGTGAATACTTCCACTCAATTCTGACGTTCAAAATACACTGGCTTTTACTGTGTTTTAGCATTTCTTACTGGGTATTAGTAACCGAACTAGATTATTTAGATATTAAAAAATTATATTTATTTTTGTTGTTGGAAAAGAATGGTTATTTGACACACTTGCCTGCATGTTGTTACGTTCCTGAACCAGGGGGAAAATGGCTTGCTTGCATTCTTGAAGTCTGATATATTGAAGACAGAAAGTGTACTGTTTATATACCCTTTCATAGTGTGACTGCTGTGACTCCCATAAGGAGGGACCGAAAAGGACCAGTAATAAACCAGACGAGGAATCATATCAGATGTAAAAGCAATGATCATAGCCTGCATTGAAAAAGACAAAAACCCAAAGCAGTGTTTAAGAAATAAGCCTTAGTATGCATGGCTTTGCCATATACTTAGTATCTCAAAAGTAACAGTATGAGCTAAAAATAGAAAATATGTGCTTTTCCTGTTAGTGGTTCCCTCTAAATGAGCACATAGTCATTCAAGGGGATAAAACAATCTCTTTCTGGAATGTACACTCTGTATGTTTTTTAAATTATGCTAGCTCTGCTGGATACCTTTAAAAAGTTATACTATAATACAGTTTTTCCCTCATGAACAGGCAGTGGAGGTCAGCAGTCAAACTCACCTTCAAGTACTCTAAAGCGACCTTCAGCAAACATACTTGCTATCAGATGTACTTATGAGATGCTTAAAGAAATCCTGCCCGATGAAGCTCATGGAAACAATGGAATAGTCCTTCAGTAACAGAAAATTAAATTTCACCTGGAATCCTGAATTTTGAGTAAAGGAATTAAATAAATTATATATATATAGATGATCCACCCCTGACCCTAGAAACATCCCATTCTTTCTGAGGTGCTAGCCAGCCCAAATTCATATTGGCAGTTGTTGCCTCATAAGTTGCAATGTCAGTACATGTGAAAACTGCTATTGATGCCAAGATATTTTTTTTTAGTAGCAGCTGCATAGTGCTGTTTTTCATATGACGCGACCATTTGTTTTTATCTTTCTCCCAAGAGAGTCCCTGTCCTACTCAGTCGGCTAGTCATAAACTGGGTAGGAAATTGGATCCGTGGGTTTGTTGTGGGAAGACTTTTCTAAACTCATGAACTTCCCAAAACATCCTATTCTGGAGGACAGGTTAACTATGTTTAATCCAATCTCCTCCATTGTTATTGCAAATTCAAAAGCTTTCCCTCTGAGAAAGGCTTTCCACTGGCAAGATCTGCAGTTGAGTGCCTAGCAAGAGGCTGCCTGGCCAGTTCATGATGACAGGCATCTCTGGTGCCCAGCATCTAGGAAGGAGTGAGAGCTGCACTCCAGGGCTGAAAGAACAGTCTTTTGTCCCATGGCAGGGGAAAAAGCCACTTGACAACATGGGTGTAAAGAACTAGGGCAGAGACATGGAGGATAAAGTTGTGAAGTAGGAATCCAATGGGATCAGGAGGAGGGACGTTTAGACAGAGATGCATAAAAGGGGCAGAAAAAAGTCATAGGGAAGTCGTGGGACAGGGAAAGGGGAAAAGTTAAGCAGCAATGGGTAACAGAAGGACATAAGACCTGGTGAATTTTATTCCCCTTCATGCCAGTCTGTGGTTCATGCAGTTTGTATTTCCTTATTTTCATGAGATGGGGCAAAAATTGTCCACCTTCATGCAGCATTCCCAGCAAGACAGCCCCAGCCTGAGGAGCTATTTGTAACAGTTGTAGAAAAAAGGGAAGGGGAGAGAGGAGAAAGGGTGAAAAAAAATGTAGACACCTCTTCTACAGTTCCTCAAACAATGATTTAGTGGCAGTGCTAGCTAAGGAAACGACTGTCCCTCCACATGTGCCCTGTGCTGGCTCCAGTGTTGCTGCAGCTGGGCAGCAGATCCGATCATGGTGCTGATCTGGCTGGGAATTCCCGCCGGATCCATTCCCTGATCCGGTTCATTATGGTTTTGTCAAAGTGCTGGTGCCAGCACAACACAAGAGACAGCAGCAAGGGGAAAAGACAAGGAAGGGAGAGGGCAGGGACCTGAAAAGGGGGCAAGACCCACCCCATCTCAAGTAGCACCACTGCCAAAGGATCAACACTATCTTAATATGTTCCCTTTTGAGTTGGCTTACTTTGAAGTACTGGAAAAGCTGAACTCTAGTTAAGACAGAAGTTGCAGAAACAATACTTTTGAGACCCTGGTCCAAGTTCTATATTTGGTTCTCCAGAATATTGCTACAGTTGAGTTCAGTTCAGAAAAAGTTAATTTGACTGCTAAGAAAGAAAGGGAAGCATCCTAAGACTAAATAAACTAATTTAAAATTTTCAAGGATAAGATTTTTTTGTTTTGTACTGTACTCTGTCTTAAGTCAAATGTAGTTGGCATGCGCTTTTAAAAATTGTTTTTAAGCATTACATGACAGTGTGAAATGAAGTGAAAATTATGTGTTGTTTATATTTACATGTAGAGTAGGTGTTTTTGGCTGACAAGAAATATATATTATTGTGCCTTGCAGTTAGACAACCTCACACCTAAATTACTCTGTTTTTAAATGAAGCACAAGCATAGAAAATTTTAGTTAAATATAATTCCTTTCTGTTCTTTAGCTCACCCAGTCAGATCATAAATGAACTAATAGCAACTGAAATGAACTAAGGCAAAAAAATCCCTTCTCCCTTTGGACCAAATAAGTTTGATGCTGCTTCTTTGTACCATGTAGAAAGATCCTGGAATATGGTATTTACACAACTTAATATTTGCTCTTACTGAATTTTTTTGCAAGGCCCCAGGTTTCTTATCGTGCTAAATTTGAACCCTGTCTCACTCCTCCCTCTCTCAGAATGATCTCCAGATGTAGTCCAGAGAGCTGCAAGGACAGAAATACGAAAGCTAATCTTATGGTGTCCTCTCAAAGGAAAAACTTTTTTCCTC